TACGGCAACCGGAGGCTCAGGCCCAACCTCAGGTTTGTTTCTCAAGTTCACTTCTAGGAAGAACTTAAGAGCTTCCTCTGCCCRTAGCTCAGCTGCCCCTGCCCCTGCCCCTGCCATTGCCCCTGGCTGTGTGCAGGTGCTAATCCTCCACCCCCGTAGCCCTAGAGAGAAGGAAGGAGAGGCAGGCTGGAGATTTTCTTTCCCACTTTGGAAGGAAAGAAAACACACGCACGGGTTGACCTGTTGGGATCTGGTTCCTGAAACCTGAGCCAAGGCTAGACGTCTCACTGGACCGTCCACTGCACACTTGCCCAGGGGCTTTGTCTTCCACCTGGGCTGAAAGAGAACTCCCTGAGGACTGGGGTGGAAGCCGCTATCTGTACCTTTAAAGGGGGCAGACGTCCCCAGTCAGTTCTGCCAAGCCCACCTTCCCTCTCACCCTCACCCCTTGCCTGCACCCATGGGACCTTGCATTAGCATTTGCCTTTTGGAATCACATAAATTGGAGAAGGAGATACTCAATAAAATGAATAATTCCAGAAAAGAGGGAGTCGGGGGTGTTGGTCAGTGGTAGAGTTCAGCATGCTCAAGGCCTTGGTTCAATCCCCAGCATAATAAATAAATAAATAAAAGTGATGTTCTGCGCAGTGGTGGCCACACTGCTGTGGGAGGCTGARGCAGGAGGATTGCAAGTTCAAAGCAACAGTGAGGTGCTTAGCAACTCAGTGAGACCCTGTCTCTAAATAAAATATAAAATAGGGCTGGGGATGTGGCTCAGAGGTCAAGTGTCCCTGAGTTCAATCCAAAAAAAAAGAGAGAAAGGGAGAGAGAGAGAGAGAGAGAGAGAGAGAGAGAGAGAAAGAAAGAAAGAAAGAAAGAAAGAAAGAAAGAAAGAAAGAAAGAAAGAAAGAAAGAAAGGAAGGAAGGAAGGAAGGTAGTCCTGAGGGTGAAACTGGAGTGCCCAGACCAGGTGCCCAGCCTTGCTTGGGGGGATCAGGGAAGTCTACCTGCAAGTAGTGTTATATGATACAGGAAGGAAAAATAGGAGGTGACCTGGAAGAGGCTGGGGGAATATTGACAAAAGACAACAGAGGTGGTTGGCAGTCCTGAAGATCCTCAGCTGAGGCAGAAGCAGGTAGGTCCCTCCCATAGTCTAGCCCCACCTCCCCACCCCAGCTAGGATCTGAACCTTAAGGCTCTCCCTCCCCAGGAAAGGCCCAAATTGGCCTCCCTCCCACACTTTTTTTTTAATATTTATTTTTTAGTTGTAGGTGGTGGACACAATATCTTTATTTCATTGTTATGTGGTGCTGAGGATTGAACCCAGTGCCTCAATGCTAGGCGATCACTCTACCACTGAGCCACAACCCCAGCCCCCCACTCTTGGTTTCTATTTACACTTTTTTATTATGGAAAAATTCAAACATATCAACCAAAGTAGAGAAAAACTACACAATGAACAGCTCCGTGGACCATCACCCAGCTTCAACTATCAGACACWCGTGACCAATCTTGTTCCATCTATACTCCCGGTCTGAACATTTTAAAGCAAATTCCCTAATCCAATTTTCTCCAAAAATATTTCAGGATTTATGTCTAAAAGATAAACAGTCTTTTATAAATAGACCCATCATCACACTAAAAGGGAATGAACAAAAACGCCTTAATACCATCTGCTGTCTTCCCCTCATCCATACTTGGTTTTATAAGTCATGGTCCTGCTTACGAAGGTAGGGTAGGGTTAGGAGACTATGTGACATCCACTGCTCCTGTGACAATATATGACTGTGCAGCCACTCATCTGTCACTCCTCTCTGGTGGTTCTATGTGTATGTGTTTTGTGACTCTGGGCCATAAATTCTTCAGAGCAAGGTTTGGCACCATTGCCCTTTTGTACCCCAGTGTCACACATCTCAGTCAGGCAGGCCATTTATTGGGGCAGTTATTCAAACTCCCTCAGAATTATTTTCTTCATCTGTGWAATGGGAGTAAAAATACCCATCTCCCAAGACTTGTGAGGCTTAAAGAAAAAAGTATGAATGAGCTTAACAGGTAGAAGKTTCTCGGTAAATGCTCAACTAGCTGCTCTTCCTCAGATCCAGTGAGACTGCCTCACATTCTCTGGCTCCACTATCTTCYGGTTCCTCATTGCAGCAGATCTCAGGAGAGAGGGCTGCAGTCAGTCCAGCAGTCTGGAGCTGCCCCACCRTTCTGAGGCTGTGGCACTGGTGGTCCCCAACCTGAGCACCAGGCTTTGTTCATTTGCTATGGGCACTGAGGAACAGATGTGGCCTGCAAAACCTGCAGGGAACTGAGGGAAGGGAAGGCTAGAAGGAGCAGAGATTGCTTTTGGCTCACTTGGCCAATTTCTGGGTTAATTGACCTAACTGAATCCATGGTTCGTAGCTGCCATTTATTGTTTATTATATGCCAGCCTCTGTGCTAAGAGCTTTCTGTTATCATCTCTCAGTTTTCATAACAGTCCCATGAAGTAGATGCTATTATTCTCAAGAAACACTGGGAAAAATTATAAAAAGAGAGAGAGACATTCGTAGTCACACCATGTTTCTCTGATATTTAAATCTAAGTCCTTGACCCCACACTCACTACTTTGCTAATGGTGTTAAAGAAGTCACTTTTTTATGGTTCATTCCCATTCACCCAGATTTGCAGATGCGACTTCTGCCCACTGCTCAGCATACATCCTGAACTCCAGCCAGCCTTTACGCCAGTGAATGCCCTTGAACTGTGTAGGAGTATGAGGATCAGAACAGCCTAACTCCATGATCCTGAAGGCAGTTCCTTTTTTTTTTTTTTTTCAGTTGTTAATGGACCTTTATTTTATTCATTTATTTATAATTGGTGCTGAGATTCAAACCCAGTGCCTCACGCATGCTAGGCAAGTCCTCTGCCACTAAGCCACCACCCCCACCCCTTGAAGGCAGCTCCTTAACCTGAGGACACACACACACACACACATTCACCACCCTTTATTCCTTTATTCCCTGGCTCTGTCTGCAGGATCAAGTGTGGAACTGGTAAGGGGGAGGGCAGCAGGGCAGGGGAGAGGAGGCAGGCCATGGTATTAACTGGCTGAGCAGAAAAGCTGGAGAATGAAAGTTCTAGGAGCACAAGAGTCACTTGCCTTCTCTGTGGCCTAAACATTGTCCTTCATTACTAAGCCCTGWTCTATTCAGGGCTTGGAGTATAGTTCAATAGTAGGGCGCTTGCCTAGCATGCACAAGGCACTGCGTTTGATCCCTAGTATTGTTAAAAAAAAAAGAAAAGAAAAGAAAGAAAGAAAGAGAAAGAAAAGAAAAAAGTTCTCTTTGACCTTAGCCTCCAGAAGCCACTGGACACAAGGCAGCCATAGGCCCAGGGACTAGGGACTGAGAGTGAGAGAAGAGCAGAGTCAAACTCCAGAAAGAATGTTTGGGGACTAGGGCAGGAGTCACAGAGCTGCCAAAGTTTGGGTGGCATTTCATTTCTTTCTGTACGTTTCCCGATAGCTGTCCTGAGACAGAAGGCCCTTGCAGTAAATCCTGTCATTTTTTTTCTATAAATGATTTGGCATTTACTCTTCATTATCATACTGCATCAGGGGCAACCACCCTCCCAAGGGTAACAACCCGGATCCCCTGGCTTCCTACACTCTCCTCACTTCTTGGCAGAGCCTTAAACACTGGCCCAGTGGGTGGCAGGACAGAGACAGAGTCTCACCTCCTTCACTTATTTTACCTCTACCCCTTCTCTCCTCCTCCCTACTTTCTTATTCCTACTCTTGAGAAGTCAGGACCATGTCCCCTAGGGTACTCTGACAAGAAGTCAACACAATTGCATGTCCAGCCAGACATTCCATGAAGACATTCCCAGTTTCTCTGTGGGAATGAATGTGACTTTGATGTTGYGTGCCTCAGTGTCCATAGAAGTAAAACAAAAGACAAGGATTGAAAATGAACTTTTTCCTGCAAGAATTCTCAAGTAATGGATACTGTGCAAGAGACGGAGCTGAGTAGAAGAAGAGAACTAGTGCAAAGTCTTAGCRCCCTTTTCCCCATGGACCAAGCCATCCCATAAAGTCAGACTCAATTGGAGGCCACTTTTGTTTGTCCAAAGGAAACTCATATATGAAAGAAACGGTGAAGAAAAATAACTCCTCCATGCCAACGCAGAAAAACAGAAAGCAAGCTGTGCTTCATTTCATCCTAGATGTGGGTAGATGCTCCCAAATAGTTACTACTTTCTTTCCTCTGTTCCCTCCTGCATTCCTAGCAAAGCAACTTAATTAATTTATAAAGGGCTGAATGCCAAAAGGGGGGGAATGGTCCCTCAACGGGCTTCTCCAGAGAGTGGAAAAAGGAAGGAAGGAAGGAAGGAAGGAAGGAAGGAAGGAAGGAAGGAAGGAAGGAAGGAAGGAAGGAAGACACAGCACCTCACCCTTCCTGGAAATAAAAGGGAAGCTTTCGGGTTAAGCCATGTGCCAGCCCATAGATCCTGGCTTTGGGAAGCCCATCTTCCCCAACCCAAGCTTCTCTGAATAGTTCCTATGCTATGAGGAGCTCATAGGTCAGGGGAAAGATGACTCATTGTCTCACAAGGAGGATTTAGCTTCTCTTCTTTGGTAGCTGGCAGGAAACTGCAAACATTCTATTCTTGCATCCCTCCTCTCTATAGGATGAGATGAACATGAAGGAGAAAACAGATGTCAGGGACCGAGTCAACTGGACAACAAATACTTCCAGGACACCTCCCAGCTCCCTTTCTACTGGTAGCCCTGTTTGGTTTTGTGAGAGGCTGTATTCCTGCAGCATACCAACTTCTGCTTATACAACAGAAATTAGGGGTAGGAGATTCACACTGCTAGTCTAGTGATGATAGTTCTAAAGCATTTAATCCTTTGCCATCGAGAGCAGTTCCTCTGAGGAAAGATGCATCCTAGCCAAGGAGTCAGGGTTCCCAGCCCTCCCTCCTCCCTCTTCCCTCCAGGGTATGTCACTCACATCCATGGACATCTCCCTCTGAATAAGTTTCTTGGTCTCCTTTTCACAGAAGTTGAGCATGGCTTCCCGGTTGTATGTGCCTGTGGACTGTTTGTCCGTCAGGTTCCTCTGTCGCAGCCCCACGGGAATGCTCCCATCTGGGTCCACCACGTCTAGCTCTTTCTCCAGCTCCTCCATCTCCTCCGGGGACAGGGTGGACAGCAGACTGTCGATGTCAGGGTCTTCGCTCACCTGCCGGCGATACTTGGCTACCTTTGACATATTGGCAAAGTGGGCTACGGCTCTTGCCGGGGCTATGAGAGTGCTGGTGGGCAGGGAAGGGTCAGGAGGGCAGATCTGGATGGAGCCAAGTGGGGCTTAGGGGCAAACCTCCAGCTGGTCAAGGACTGCAGCTCCTTGGCCCCGCAGAGCCACAGGTGCTCAGTGGACACAGCAGCCTCCCTGCAGCCCAGGGCTAGCGGACCCTGTCTGGTCTAACCAGTGGCCAATAAGACCCGGCAATTGCCTGCCCTGAAAGGAGAAGCCAATCCCCAAGCTGGGGGCGGGCCTGCCTCTCTGTCAGAGCTGTTTGAAACTTGAGGACATTCCAGGGAATCTTGGAGCGCTGCGTGACCAAATTTAGTACAGAGCAGTTTAGCCTTTTAAAGACAAGGGGGCCATGCAATGAGAAAGAGAGACAAAAATGCGGAGTCTGGAAGAAGTGGACCGCAGCCTGGAGAGCCAGAAAAGCAGGACGAGGACATGCRAGTTCAGGAACTGGCCAGCCAAGGCATGCCCTGGTCAAACGCACTTTGCTTCTCTGTTGCCAGGTGGATGTTGCTGTGGCCAGCGTGTGGCTCATTGACTCCTTTCTACTGTATTTGGTAATGTGCGGGGGACTCCCAAGTGTTTATAGCCCCAGGAAAGACACTCGATTTTAACGAGGAGCCATGCTACGCTCCACCTACTCATTCTCTTAAACCAAGGAGAACCTGAATGCTGAGCATCACAGGCTGTGTCTGACCTCCAGAGAGAGGGCAGGGGTCAGTGTGGGTTGAGGGTGGAGGGCAGGAATAAGCCCCTTTCACAGTGCATCCAAACTGAAAACTGGAAGTCTGTTTGAGGAACAGCGTGGGATCTACTGGACTCTGGAAACTCTTAAAGAGCTGTCAGTTTCCATGAGCCCCCAGGCTCTAGGGAAGAGGGTTCCACCCTCCGTCCATTCTCATCTTTCTTCCTCTGCTGGGGCATCTGTAGAAAGACCTCCTTGGGGAGCATTGAGGAGGAGCCAGTAGGTTGCCACCCACATATAAATCCAGAGCACAATTTAACATGTCTTCAGAGAAATACAATTCTGGGCCATTGGGAGAGATACTATTGCAACGGCTCTGGCATGTCGCATTGAAGGGCTTTCCACCACTCATCCATCATGCYGCCCTGCGCAACTCACAGACATTCAATCTCCTGCCCCCCTCCCTCCTGCCACAAAATCCCTTCTAGAAGCCCTGGTGTAAACCATCGGGGTAGATGCTTCGATCTTTCCTGGCATCTTTCCATCCTAAGCCAGAGAGAGACAGTCACTTGATCAGCGTTTGCTGAGTTCAGGGATCGTCTGGGACTAAAATTTGGCTGTGGCATTCATGCCCACTAGTCCAGCTTAGGCAAAAAAGGTGCTGACTGGTGAGAACAGAGGACAAAAGTGAGGCAGGTATATGGGAGAATGGAAAAGGACTAGAGAACCCTAGGGGTTTTCATGTAAGAGTCAACAGTTAGGGGTTGGCCGTGATAAACATGTATTTATTGAGTGCCTATTATGTGACAGGTGACTGCTCTGAGAACAGGGAATGTAAATAAGGATGTAAATCAATTTGGTCCTTGTCCTTTGGGAGCCTACGATCTACCAGTGAAGACAGTTATTTTTTTTTAAATTAAACAAATAATAACAAATAATCCTTAACTAATTAAAAGTCTGCAAAATGCCTCAAAAGAGAAGTACAGAGGCTATGGGAACACACAACCGAGGAGGCTGGGCAGCAGTGTGGTTGCAGAGATACGAGCTTGCACTCTTCAGACAAATAGACCTGGTATTGYTGTTTTCTGGTCATATAACTTTGGGAAAATTTTCCTCTCCTCTGAGACTTAGCTTCTCCTGTCAGTAAAATAACAACTTCCCCCGCTCCTTATAGGATTGTTATGGACACTAAATTGACATTATTATGAAAACATTTAGCTGATACAAGAGAAACATAGTATTTATTTATTGTTTTGTATTATTTTGTTTAGTACCAGGAATTGTCTGGTACATTGGTGCAGGGTTGCTTAATCATTGAGCCACATCCCCAGCCCTTTTTATATTTTATTTAGACACAGGGTCTTGCTTAGTTGCTTAGGGCCTCACTAAGTTGCTGAGGCTGGCTTTGAACTGGAAATTCTCCTGCCTCAGCCTCCTGGGCTGCTCTGATTACAGGCATGTGCCACAGAGCCCAGCCAATTTGAAGTTTTAGAATTATTTATACTTACTCTTATCCTAGGTCCTTTTTGTTCAACCCACCTCTTCTTTCCTCTTTTCCTCCAGCAATAACCACCCTCAGTATACACCCATATATACATACGCACACACATTTTCTCACTTAGTTCCCATTCATGCTTTCAAGCATTTATTCAGATACTACTAAATATATATATATCAGGGCTGGGGATGTGGCTCAAGCGGTAGCGCGCTCGCCTGGCATGCGCGCGGCCCGGGTTCGATCCTCAGCACCACATACAAACAAAGATGTTGTGTCCGCCGAGAACTAAATAAAATAAATATTATAAAAAATAAATATTAAAAAAAAATATATATATATATCACCCTGCTAGGCACCATGGATAGAGGGATACAAAATAATTACAACACTCTTAAAAATGTATATATATTTCCCTTTGTTTTCTTTTTGCAGTACTGGGGATTAAACCCAGGCATGCTCTACTACTGAGCTAAATTCACAGCCCTTTTTACTTTTTGAGACAGGGTGTTACTAAGTTGTTGAGGCTGGCCTCAAACTTGCAATCTTCCTGCCTCAACCTCCCAAGTAGCTGGGATTACAGGCATGTGTCATTGTACTTGGCCAAAAATGTATAATTTAATGGGGTAAAAAAATTAGTTATTCTGTAGGGCAAAAAAAAAAAAAAAGCAAAAGATACTATTAGGAACTATTAGGAGTCCTAAAAAGGAAGATGCATTAATTTTAATTCATTCTCACTGTTACCTGGAAGAGGCATCATCTTCTGGGACCCCAGGCTGTGAAGCCCCCCTAGCCAACCTCTAATCCCCAATTAGCTGAGAGCAGCTCTTCAGCTTCCTGAGATTCTTCTCTCTCAGGCTTTTTGCCAGTAATGTTCATTGTTCCCTGAAGAGAAAGCAGGGACTGAATGCACATAACTATCTCAGTCCCGGGATCAGCCTCTGTACCATTTGGTTTCAGTGGCCTTCTCCCCCCAGCTTAGTGGTCCCTGTTCTAGAATACACTAAAAAACAAAACAAAACAAAAAAAAATTCTAGACAGCTTCTAGACACAAGGGAAAAATCCATGGCTGAAGGATATGGAAAATAACATCCCCCAAGAAAAGGGGAATGACAGTCCCCAGGGAGAAGGGAGGACAATGGTGACAATGGGTCTCTGGAGAGAGAAGGTAAACATTTGGCCCTGGGTCCTGGACTTTCATCCCTTCCCAGTGACACTGAGCCAGGGAGGAAGGAGGTAATCATTAGGCTCTGGGCTTTAGTCTTTCATCCTTTCCCAGCAACAGGTCCTGGAGGGGAAGGCAAACAAATGGGCTCTGGGCTCTGAGCTCTGGATTTTCATCCCAGTAACAGTGAGTTTCAAGCTTTCACAGCTGTTTCCCTGAGTTAGATTTTTAACCTACACAATGAGGAGCGCTGCGTGACCAAATTTAGTACAGAGCAGTTTAACCTTTTAAAGACTGCCCAATCAGCACGTCCCAAGTCTCTAATGATTAAGTCACACTAAACAGTCTGTTAGGATTAACTCTCATTAAGACTTATAAAAACAGACCCCTCCCCTCTTGTAAACAGTTGCCATTTTCTCCCCTGAAAATGTGCTGTTGCATCCATCCTTAATAAAGACTGCTTGCCGATTCACTTGAGGTCTGCTCCTGTTTCAGTTATTTTTGCTAACAATGGTCTCCTAACCAAAGGTGTCTACACATGAACCCCGGTAACTTCTCTGCCTCAGATCCCGTAGTTCCAAACAGCTGACATAAAATTCTGAAGCTCTTGGATCCCTAGATTCCCAGGGACCCCTGAGACTGCCTTTAGACTTGGAATATCTTCCCTTGAAAGGCACCACAGCTGGGACTGTATAGCCTCCTCCAGGCCCTGCCACCAGGGGCCACACAGGTATGGTGGCCATGGTTGCCCAGGCTCAGAATCCTCTTCCATCTAAAACAAATTCATCCTGGGGGTCAGGAGATTCTGGCTTGGCCTATTCCTCACAGAAAATTAAGCATGTTGTTGCTAGAGGTGTGGAGAGGGAAAAAAGAAGAAAGAGACTCTTAAGTTCCAGTTGAATATATGGTGGGGGCTGGGGATGTAGCTCACTGGTAGAGCACTTGCCTAGTACATGTGAGGCCCTGAGTTCAATCCATGGGACTGCAAAAACAAAAAGAAAATTTTGGTGGGATGGGAGAGGGATAGTGAGGATCCAGACTCATTTAACTAAGGCTTAGGTGGCTCTTAATGAGACTGGAATTCTCCAGGAAAGTCACATCTTCTGGAATATAGGGTGGTAGTATAGTATAGTGGACAAGATCACAGGCTCTGGAGTCAAATTACATGGGTTCAAATATGAGTTGTGAAACCCTGGGTAGGTTATTTAACCTTTCTGAGGCATAGGAAATGGAAAATTAGGATATTAAAAGTATTTACCTAATACTGTCTCATAGAGTTATGGAGATATTAAGTTAAATAAGATAACACATACAAAGTATTAACAGTAGCAGCATCAGGCATAAAGTAAGCACTCAACAATTCTTGCTACATAGTTCTTTCATACATACATATGTATTTACATATAAGGATATAGATATACAGATGGATAGATATGCTCTGATGTAAATAGCTAAAGCAGGGGCCAAAGTAAGTCACAAAAGAGAAATTTTTTCACTGGTTTCTCTCTCTCTCCTTTCTTTCTTTCTTTCTTTCTTTTTTTTTTTTTTTTTTTTGGTACTGGTGATTGAACCCAGTGACATCCCCAGCCCTTTTTTATTTTTTGAGACAGGGTCTCATTAAGTTACTGAGGGCCTTGCTAAATTGCTGAGGCTGACCTTGAACTTGTGAGTCTCCTGCTTCAGTCTCCAGAGTCACTGGGATTACAGGTATGTTCCACCTCACCTGGTGACACCGGTTCTCTTTTGGGGGTTGTGAATAGTTTCTCTAGAAGGAAGCAGCAGTCTTTGTCTGGAAGCCAGCCACTT